CTGATGCTGTCCTCTGGTCCTTGGCCTCCAAAACACGCTTACGTGATAGCATCTGTTCTTTACGAGAAGCGCACTAAAGCTTCTGCAAAAGAAATCCATATTTTTCTGCATTAGGACTAACCCTGCCCCTCACTGGGGAATGGAGTGTGTTGCTCTTAGAGACAAAATATGCTGACAAAGCTGAAAAGGCTTATGACATACAGGTGAACACAGCCTTAGATTCAAATATCCCCTTTTAGTTTTCTCTCCTCCTCGGATGGTCAGAGTCTATTAAACCTGCAACACCTGGACTTGCTGTATGGTAATTTGTAGGGAAACTGGATGCTGAACGCATTGTTGTGTAATTAAACCACCCCAACAGGCTCTGCAGAGAGTGGGACGGGCTAGTGCTTGCTACAGCTACTCTAGGATACGAATGAAGGGTGGGTCTGTCTGGAGGGACTCACAATGCTGCAATGATTTGAGGTGAAACCAACTAATTTCCCACTTACTCTCTCTTGAGTGCTTTCTAAAAGCAGCTACTATCTATCTATCTATCTATCTATCTATCTATCTATCTATCTATCTATCTATCTATCTATCTATCTATCTATCTATCTAGAATCCATCTTGGCACTGAGGAGAAAACATTTGCTTACCCAAATAATTTGCAAATTCGACACAGTGGTTTTTCTTTTCAGTTATCTTTTGCAGAACTAAATCAAAACTCACATGTTTCCATATTTAGCCTCATGTATTGATCTCTGTCTTTTTTTTTTTTGGGTGAAAGTAGAGCGTTTTGATCTCAAGTGGTAAACCAGTGTTTCATCTTCATTTGGTCATTTGTTCACCAACTTACAAAGCTATGAACTGACAATTCAAATCATCTCTGCATGATCTGTAGAGCAAGGAACCGCTGGGAATTGGCAAAAACAAATTATGACATGACAAGCCTACAAAAAAGTAAATAGAAAAATGTCAGTATTTGTTGTGGGATTTTAAAAAATCCATCAAAGCAAACACATTTGTGAAAAGTTTAAACTTTTATCACGTAACAATTTTAAAGGTACCTTTTCAATATGTTACCTTAAGTTCTTTTAAATTTTGTTGAAACTGACTCGACATAAACAAAATGTTTTGTGGTAAGTTGTACCATTCCTTTTAAGGTATATTTTAATTAAGTAAAACTTCAAAAGTGTGGCTTTCATTCACGTTGAGGATCCTTTAAGATACATTTAATCGTATAAGATAATGAGAAAATGGAGTAAACATATATTAAATTTATTCCAAAAAAAGTTTAAAAAAAAAATCCACAGGACGTTGCGTGTAAAAGCTTGATGGATGGGAACATAAACATCTTCAAACTTGGAAACAAAGTCCAGTGGATTGTTATTATTATTATTATTATTTTTTTTTTTTTTTACATTATTTAAACTTTTTATTTTATTTTATAGTTTTACTTTTTTGGAAAGACTATGACCTGAATGACTGAGGATTGTAGCCAGTATATTAAATTTAATTCCTTTATAAACATGAGTCCTCAAAGGCTTTTTGGGTATTATTTATGATAGAGAGCATCATGGTAACCGTGAAACATTTCTAACAGATTAAAGATAAATAAAAAAAGAAAAATAGAGGAAATGATCACTAAATGTCAACAGGAAGAGTTTGTTAAACTTTTCGCAAATGTTTTAGGGGAAGAAAGCAATAGTATCCAAATTAAACTTGTGATCATATCAAACTAAAACCCGTTGTGTGGAAACGAACATGCATTGGCTTAAATTCGCCTTTTTCATGTTGAAACATGGTGGCGGCAGCATTATGCAGTGGATTTGCGTTTCTTTAGTAGTGACAGGAAAGCTGATCATAGCTCATGTGAATATGGATGAAATTAAATTAAAACTAATCCTGGTGGGAAAGCCATTTGAATTTATTTCCAAATTTAAAAGACAATATAAATATCAAAACAATTTAAGAACACCGGCTCTGAGTAATAGAGTCATGTTTCTCATTCTTACAAATGGTTTAAAATAATGTCCAAGATATAGAGTCTGATTTCTTTAATTTAAGACTGAAGATGTTTCCAAGCTGCGGGAACCTTAATCCTGATGCTTGTATTCCTTTCTCTAAGTGCGTTCGAAGATGCAAAAGAAAACTATTGCTGGAGCGAGAACAGTAGACAGTTTTAGATCTTTGTAGGAGAGAATTAAAGTAGAAAAAAGTCAGACCAAGCAGAGATCTGTAGCTCAAAATTTGCAATAATTCTTCTCTCTCACTGTGCAATAACACATGCCAACTACTGTGTAGTCTGTTTAATTTTTATTTATCTATATTTTCAGTACATTTCTGCAGTGCATTTCAACTTTTTCCTTTTTTTTAAATAATTTTTTAGTATTATATACCTTCTTTTTATATTTTCTGTCATATTTTTATCTTTAATGGCATTTTGCTTTAACTCTTTGTACCCTATATAAGCTATAACCAGAATTTCACTGAAGGATTAATCTTTCAGAGAAAAAGTTGAGTCTAAGTCTAAAATCATCAAATTAAAATACTTCCTTTGATTCAGGGGAGGCCAATCAGCTCCCGTGTTTAACTCACGTTGATAAATGAGACGTTCGCAGTCTGTTACAAACATCAAAGCACAGTGATAAACAGCATTGAAGGGCTAAAGAGATTTGGCTGAAGCATTCATTTATAGAACATCTAAACAGCCAATCAGAAGTAAAAGAGTTGTTGAAACCACTTTGGGAGAGAAACTGAAACCCTAACGATAATAAAACCCAATAATCCCCAACTGTTTTCACACCAAACCTGCTACGTTCCTTTTGACAGAGAGCTTTTCATCCCATATAAAACATACGTATTTAGAATTAGCAGCAAACTCAATCTGTTTACCTTGAACTAATGTAATTAGTGGGGACATTTCTGAAAGCATTCTTAAGGGGAGAAAAAGTTTGCATTCTCTTTATTCACATTCAAATCCAATTTTAGAGTTTGTTAATGAGGCTGACTTGTGTTAAAACAGGCTTTAAGCACTCTATAGCATCTGCAAGTGAAGAAGAGCAGCAAAATAATGAAAAAATGTCACATAATCTATTCATGTAAAGAGAAAATCAAAGCAGTCCCAGGACTGAACCAAGCTGAACTCCTTTTGTGATTTTAGGAGAGGAACAGGTATCACCTGAACCGTAGGTTAATTTTGACAAATATTCCATAGCATAGCTCTTCCTGGTGAAAATTTCTGCTTAAAATGTGACCAGTGGTGTTAAATGCTTTGGACAAAGGAATAAACACAGCAACACAATCATTTTTGCATTCATGGGCTCGCAGGAGGTCATTTTAAAATCTTTAAAATATTTTTAAAAAGGTAGATGATTATTAACTTCTGACGATTCCCCACCTTTCACCAGAGGCTTTTGCAAAAGACTTGAGACACTGGAAACTTTTCCCAAGGCCGGACAAGAATGCGGAATATACAGGTAGAGACAAAGTGGAGCATATTTTAAATGAAATATTCATGTACTAGAGTGGACACCTCAAAGTCTGAGGGAAGACTTACAAGTTGCTTTTTACAGACGTTCTCTATCTAGAATAATAATGTGGTCAGAAATGTTAAAAGGATATGAGTACTTCTAAATACTTCTTTTCAAAGCACTGTAGAGGTTAGCTCATTGTTTCTTCTTATTTAGCTCATATGTGCATATATCGTCCCACTTTTAGTTTGAAACAACAATAGCTCTCACCCATTAAATTCTAATTTTTATTTTTTGAGGATATGTCCATAATGCTTTCAAAATTATCCAGATTTGTCTTTGTTACCTATTTTCTCCAATCCTTGTAAATTTTCTGCCTATTTTACTACTACAGGCAGTTTTGTTCCTTTAATTAGTGTATATTTTACAGTCCAACAATATATTTTCAACAGTTTATTTTACTTCACATACCTTTAATATGTCTTTCCTCCTAATCATATACAATAAGTATGTCCTTCTACTATTTCAAAGAAATTCCATATTTATACAGATTTTTGTATTCTATATAAATGTCTTCCCACTACGGAAGAGGATTAGGGCCACTGAAAAAAAAAAAAAAGTTAACTGATTTAAAAAAAAAAAAATGTTTGAAAAAATTGG